GTGTAAATTCTAAAAGCTCCTTCTCTGATTTAAGAGTACGCTTTGCACTTTTTCGCTTTTCACCAGTTTCCTGACAAATTAAGAAGCTCAACTATTCAGTCTTTCCTAGATGTAGTTTCATATACTCATAGTGACATGACAAAAGAATGAAGGGAATTTGGTTCATGTTGATCAAAATGAGATAAATACAGTTCGTTCTATACCATTTGTAATTCAAATATTATATGCAAAATCATCCTTTTATAGTTACTGAGACATTGAAACGAATGAGGTGAATCACATTAATGACTCGGCTCATTTTATAATATGAAAGAGGGTTTTCTACAAAGGTTCCTGAATATTGACCTAGCATAATACTGGTGTGCATCAAAAATATATTACACTCTATTCAACCAGTGATCGCACAAAACTAGTAGTGACACAACCGATGTTTTTGTTTGATTTTGATGTACTCACTGACCTCAACATGACCCTAACTGTCAAAAATTATGAACTCAACATGACCTAAATTGTTTGCTGTGGAACAATTGTGATGGTCCATCCAAATTTCCAATTCAATAGAGCCTAATCAAGCAACTAGCCCCAATTATATTTACAATCAGAGTATATTAACTTACCTTCTTTACAAATATACTGCTATAAACAAATTAAACAGTTAAAGCATTACAAACTGCCCAACAATTCAGAAACCATGATCGATCCCGTTTATGAATTCCAAGCTATAACTTGTCGACCAAACAAGGATAACCTAACACTTCCAATAACATTCTTCAAAATCCCCTACAAACTTGTCCATACTGTTCTGACAGAGATAACCTAACAACACCATAATCAATCAGCCCAGCCTCATTACTATTCTTGAACTGGGTGAAAGTACATTATACTTGCAAGCTCACAGCTTATCATAAAAAATGTTAAATTTCTTTTTTATTATAAAGCAAAGAGTATTGCTCTGCCTATTTCCAGTAAACTTGATCTAGACCAAGTTAATGTCCTACCAAACCCAATGCCCAAAAGGCTAGTTGTGGATCAAATATGTTATGTCAGTTGAACATACAAGGACATTTTTAATCAACTGTTACCAGAATTTAAGAGCTAGAGGGAACACAGACTGAGAAATATATAGCAGAAAATACATGCAATAATTCATGTGCACAGTAGAAATTAACACAGATAACTGACTAACCGATTTTTTGTTTTTTGAAGAATCAACAGTCTCTGATGAACACACATTCTTTACAGGCAATGCTTTTGTCTCCAAAGGTACAACAGTTGCTGCAAAAGCAATTAGCAACAACACAACCACCACGTCAAATACTCAGAGAAAAAAGTAGAAGGCATCGGTAATTCAACATAGAGATCCAAAAGCTTGCATTTTAATGGGTTTGTAGTCATGTCTAAGCATGCAAGGTAGTCCATTGATTATGTAAGTTTAGATATTCCAACCATTTAGTACATGACTAGGTATAGTATCAATAAAAGTAACCAGCAATGCAAGAGAAAAAAAAATGTAACTTTAAGAGGTCATTTCATCTTTCCAACAGACAAATTCTTAAAATCATGTATTTTCAATTTTCTTTTGCATGGAAATATTTTTAATCCTAAAAAAGGAGTTGCTTGATCGATAAACAGACATATAATATGTATAGTTCAAAAAAAGAAAAAAAAAAATTACCTATTATGCTAAGAACTCACACCAGCTGTATATGGTCAAAGTAATCCTTCTAATAATAACAAGGGCAAGTTGACCCCCACCCCCTGAGCTAGATTTTAAGATGAAGCAAACCTTGTATGCTATTAATTCTAATATATTATGGTATTAGGTCCTATCCCAAACCTAATATTTCAGTCACCCACAATTCAGAAGTGTTCAATACTGCCAATTTCACACTTCAGGTGTCCAATCTTGAGTATAAGGGGAGTGCTACAATCCCATGATGGGTAGAAATATAAAGTACTACTTACAATGATATAGACAATCCTCCTACGATCTTGCTTTTACAATCAAGTTATGCCCAGTCTGTTCTTAAATTTAACAAGGACAGTATAAACTTTGGGGTCCATAACAATAGAAATACCTAATCCACATAATATGGAGACTGTTCAATGTTTGAACTAGAAAACTAAAGACAAGGAAGGATTACAAGGTTTTCCAGTGACATCCACCATACACAAACAAACACCAATAAGGAAGCCTCCAATTTTGAAATTTGTGTATACATGATGACAAGTTGCCCCATAGAATACAGAGGCATTCTAGAAATCATTAGGCAACCAGGGACTATTAGTTCCATTTAAAGGAAAATACATATGCAGAGAAGAAAATTTTGCATAGGTATGCCAATAGTATCTATAGGTGAATGAAGGAGAGTTATACTCAATAGTAAGGAGGCACACAAAAACGAAACCTGTCTGTAGTCAAGATCAATCCATTACTTGTGTAATTCCCATGAAACTAAACAAATATTAGCATGTAGTTACTAGTTCCAAAATCTACAAAAAGGGAGATAAAGGCTTAGGATAATTACATCCATCTGAACTTTGGCATTCTCCTTGTTGTGGCTCCTTGACCTCGCAGCGTCTGGATGGTGGAGACTCGGGAACAGATACAGCTACAGGAGGTGTAATCTGTACACCTTCATTCTGCTGCATACAGCAACTAGAGGAAATCTCCACCGAGCAGTCTAAGGCATCAAAACTAAGTGCTTTAGATAGTGGAACATGAAAAGGTTTTTATCGCTGACTGATCTTGCTTACCATGATTGGTTTGAAACTCTTTCGCTCCAATGTCGTTTGATAGTTCATTAGAATGAATAAGGTCGGATGAACCATCATCCTTGTAACTATTCAGAGGCTTCTCTTGCTCAGGAGTTGGAGTTGCAGGAGCAAGAGGCTCTGTAGTACTCTCAACAAACCCATCTGGCAACGAATCAACTTCAGGAAGCTGATTTGCATCTGAATTCTGCATTTCACCTGCATCTCAAGCACCCTTTCTCAGAATAATTTAACTACAATTAAATGTTAAATTGTTTAAAGAAATACTGAGAGGATAAGTAAATCACAATCACAAGAGCTCTTAAAATTATACTAGCATCTACAATAACATTGCAGAATTGTCATTATAATTATAACAAGCAAGGATATTTTCTGTCAGAATCACCTGAACTAATTTTAAACTTTATCAAGGATTGACAGCATTATTTCTACGAAACTCAATTATAAATTATTTTTTCAATAAAATTATAGCAAGTAAAAAAACAATATTCCATGAATCTCAAATCGAATTCCTTATTATATCAAACAGAGAAATGCCCTAGACAAACCCAAAAAAGTTGTTGAAAATATATTTAAAAATGAGGAGAGGAATAACTTCACCCACGTCATTCTTTTATAAAATAACGAAAACATTTTCCACTACGACACTGAATAAAACACGCTCATCGTCGTTTGAACTAACAAATTGAAGATTGAAGAAAGTGGGCGTATGCAGGACAAATAGCTCATGTGGAACATTGAATGATGGGGATGATTAAGAATTATAGTAAAAATGGAAACTTTAAAAGAAGGAATTGAATTGGGAAAGGGGAAATCGAAGGGAGTACCTAGCAGGAGGCAGAAAATAGAAGTAGAAAAAGATGAAGTGAGAAAATGTATCGTCTGAGAAGCAGAGGAAGGATCCAACAGTGGGTGTGGTAGTGGAGCTCCAGCAAACACTTTCAAACCACCTGCTCTTCGCTTTCTCACACCAAATTTCTCTGTTATTTCTTCTTCTATAAATTTGTATCTAGGTATAACTACGAAGCCACTTTTTGTTTGAGTGTTTGTCTCAAAATTTCAAAATGTCAGATTTAAATGTTTGGATAGTTATTTTTACCATAGAAATTGTATTTTCAAAATATGCTTGTTAATATTATAAAATTGATTTTATTCTTTAGAATTTAAGATATAATATAATATCTCACTTTTAATTTTAAGGCTTTCATCATATTATATTAACATTAATCTTTTATAAACTTTGGATCTAAGTTTAAAGCACTCATTAGAACATGTGTACTAAAGATCTTGTAAAAAATTAATCACCTGATTCTTATGATTGATAAGTTAAAATTATATATTAACTACTACACAATATATATATATATATATATATATATATATATATATATATATATATATATATATATATATATATATATATATATATATATATATATTTTAAAGAAAGTGATATTGCTTTAAAAATTACTCTTGTATTAAAATCAACAAATTTAAGTGCATGAATTAGCTTTAGTAATACTTTTTTTGGCTGTATTCCTTTTTAACTACATGACTGGTCATTGCTATCTAGAGCACACTCTTGTCATTCAAACAATTAATAGAAATTGTTGCTCGTTTAGGAGTTTAAAAGGTGAACAAGGATAAATCTGTAAAACAAAGAAAAAAAATAACACTAAATGAAATCTTTCAACTATTATTAGAGATAGTTGTCATCTTAATTAAAAACATTGAAATGTTGTTTAAGATAAGAATTTTTTTTTTCTAAGATGAATAATCTTATATCCTTCAATCATCAAGTCCATTTGGTACGTGTAGATATGATCATTTGTGTGGGTTATAGGTAAACACTCCATTATTTAATCATCAAGTCCCTAATTAGTTCATGCAACAAACAAAATAAATTACTTTTAATCTCGCAAAACAAATCTAAAGAAAGTTTAGTTATGTTTTTACTATTTTTTATGTTCTAAGCTTTTAATTTCAAAAATACACATATTACACCAATGACATGATTCCTTTAAAAAATTATTCACGATCTGAGATTTCTCATCCAATAGCAAGAACATACGCTATACTTTCAATATAACAACAATAAAATTCGAAATGCTACCTATGTTTTCATCCAAGATAATGGCTGCAAAGTAACTTCAACTGCACGAATGATCCACCAAAAATTTAAAATAAGAATACAATGATATAAAGTTGACATTCAAAATCACACCTGCATCATAGGACAAATCCTAAGACTCGTTGTACCTCCAAAGATACAATTATTCTCAAAGACAAACACATCGTAATAGAAACAAAGCAAAAAAGTAGAAAAAGGAAATAAACTTTGCCACCGTCGATCAAGAACCCAGTTCTGAGAACAATAGTTGCGGGATGACGGAGCAAAACTGACACTGACACATGATATGATAAACAAGTTCCCGACATGAAAAAAAGTACTACTACGAAGAAGACAACATTTATCATAGTCATGGTAATAGAGATTCCTTAATAGACCATCCTGCACTAGTCATTTGCCCTTCTTCTGTGCAGCCTTGGTGACCTTAGCTCCTGTAGGGTCCTTCTTCTCCACGCTCTTGATGACACCAACAGCCACGGTCTGACGCATGTCTCTCACAGCAAAACGACCAAGTGGAGGATATTCAGAGAAGGTTTCAACCACCATGGGCTTTGTGGGAATCATCTTCACAAAACCAGCATCTCCGTTCTTCAGGAATTTAGGCTCCTTCTCCAGCTCTTTACCAGACCGCCTGTCAATCTTGGTCACGAGTTCGGCAAACTTCACAGCAATGTGGGAGGTGTGGCAGTCAAGAACAGGTGCATAGCCATTTCCAATCTGCCCAGGATGATTCATGATGATAACTTGGGACGTGAAATTTGCAGCCTCCTTCGCAGGGTCATCCTTGGAGTTTGAGGCAACGAAACCACGTTTCAAATCCTTCACAGCAACATTCTTCACGTTGAATCCCACATTGTCACCGGGAAGAGCCTCAGTGAGTGTTTCGTGGTGCATCTCCACGGACTTAACTTCAGTTGTCAGTCCAGTGGGTGCAAAGGTAACAACCATTCCAGGTTTCAAGACACCAGTTTCAACACGTCCGACAGGCACAGTTCCAATTCCTCCAATCTTGTACACATCCTGAAGGGGCAACCTAAGAGGCTTGTCTGATGGCCTCTTTGGCTCATTGATCTGATCAAGAGCCTCCAGAAGAGTTGGACCCTTGTACCAGTCAAGGTTGGTAGACCTCTCAATCATGTTATCTCCCTCAAAACCAGAGATGGGAACAAAAGGGATCTTGTCAGGGTTGTAACCGACCTTCTTCATGTAAGAAGAAACTTCCTTCACAATTTCATCATACCTTGCCTTGGAGTACTTAGGCGTAGTAGCATCCATCTACTCAAGAGAGCCAGAGACAAAGAATTGAGAATTTCAAAAGTTAACTAAAGAAATCAACAACAACTAAAGATACTGCTCTGACATTAAAGACCCAACACAATTTTCACCAAATATTGTCCTCCCAACAGTGTAAAATATCTAAATGCTACATCAAATAGGTTGTGTGCATGTCTTTCAAAGTGCATGAGATGAAGGTGAAGATTATAGTTTACTGTACCTTGTTACAGCAGCAAATCATCTGCCTCACACCAAGAGTGAAAGCAAGGAGAGCATGTTCACGGGTCTGTCCATCCTTAGAAATACCAGCTTCAAAACCACCAGTGGTGGAATCAATAATAAGAACAGCACAATCAGCTTGGGATGTCCCAGTAATCATATTCTTAATGAAATCCCTGTGTCCGGGGGCATCAATGACTGTGCAGTAGTACTTGGTGGTCTCAAATTTCCAGAGAGCAATGTCAATGGTGATTCCTCTTTCACGCTCAGCCTTGAGCTTGTCAAGAACCCAGGCATACTTGAATGACCTCTTGTTCATCTCAGCAGCTTCTTTCTCGAATCTCTCTATCACACGTTTGTCAATACCTCCAAGCTTGTAGATGAGGTGACCCGTGGTAGTGGACTTTCCAGAGTCCACATGGCCAATCACCACAATGTTGATATGAACCTTCTCTTTACCCATTATTGCTACAACCTAAAACAAACAGTTATCATTTTATGTTGCATACACTAAAACATTGATTTATACAACCACTACAGATACATTAATCATTGAATAAAAATACTACTTACAACTACTCTGTAAAAAAAATCAACACCTACATACATATATGTACAACAACAACAGCAACACCCAAAAGGAAACAAAATTTACACGATTTTCTCACGATCAGGGTTTGTAGCAGGCACAGAAAGTCATAAATCCCAGATCAAAACCGTTAAAAGATAGAAGAGAACTGGTTATACCAACATAGTAAATTTTATACCCTAAACTGAGTTGACAAGTCTATGAATCAGTAATATATTAACAATCCATCAATAAGAAGACAGAATTGAAATATAACCTGTCAAGAAGAGAAAGAGTGAGCTTGTAGCAGAGAAAAGTGCTTTTTTGAGAGGGGTTAGAGGGGTTTGTTTATAAACAATATCTAGCCTTGCGTACCAAGTTATATATACATAAAAAGACCATTCTTTTTTCAGAAAAAGTCATAAACATTATCTAACCTTGTCTGGCAAGTAAATAGATGTAAATAGAATATTTAAATTCCACATTTTTTATCACAAAAATAATATTAAACAAAACCGATGTCAACCCACTAACAGTATTTTAAGTGAGTATTAACTTTTCAAAACTTGTTCGTTAAACACGAAAACGCGTTAAAATTGTTACTAATTTTATAATTTTGCACAGGTAGTTTGTTTCATTAACCTTGAATGCCTGCTAGCAATCTTTGTTTTATATTAGAAATTAATAGTCAGTAATATAATATGTTTGATATACTGAGAACTTTAGTTCTTGGATCAAGACCATGAAGATGGCTCTTATTGGCAAAAACAAGTTTCTGTAATGGTTCCATTGCTGAACGTGATTCAACATACTCATGTGGAATGGCAACTCATTAACAAGATGAATATGTCAAGGCTTCTCAATTCTCTCACGCAAAATTCGAATCTGTTTGGAAGATTTTCACTAAAATTACAATCTGCACAATGTGGAGGAGGCACTCAATCTTGAACTGAGTTTAACAATATGGAATTTGTGATATTATTTCTAATGGGACTAAACGAAGCATTTTCTTTTATTTTAAACTTAGCTAAATTACTGATAAAGAACGTGTCTTTACCAAATTTAGATTGACGAAGAGTTTCTGAGATGAAAGTACGAGGTCTTCAGGGTCGAACTATATTTTCAGTTGCAAATGACTTCTCAACGTTCACGAAGAGTTTCTGAGATGAAAGTACGAGGTCTTGAATGGTGAAAGAAAAAATTGAGTATGGATGTGTATTTATAGGTTTTGAATCCTTGAATAAATACTTAAAATATAATTAAGATAAGTATAAAATATAATTAGTTATTGAGTACATGTAATAGAATATTATAACCAATATCTCATATATATATATATATATGGGTTTGCTAAATTGTGTATGCTTTTTTTTGTCAGTTGATATATTTTAGTAATGTGTACCGAGTTTTAGTAGACAAAAATACCCTCATATATTATGGATTTTAAGTTTTAAGATCAAGGGTATTTGAATAATTTTTATTCTCAAAACAAAACAAGAAACTCTCAAACTCTTACTCACCTCCTTCATTTATCTCAATCCTTTCTCTTTCATCTCTCTCACTCCAACCTTTTCTCTATCATTCTTATTGTAGCCCCAACTGAAAAAATCAGAAACACTCGTCCAATCCTAATCCACCTTACTCACTTATCTAATTCAATTCTCTGTCATCTCCATACTTTCTCTCACAATCATAACAACCTGCGACACCGCAATTTGTTGTTCTTGCTCTGTTCGTTCATTTGTTTTTCACTTTAATAATAAAATAGTCAAATGAACGAACAGAGAAAACCAACAAACAACAAATTGTAGTGTCACGGGTTGCTTTTAATTAACTTATAACTCTTTTCGGATTCGAATCTAAGAAAAAGATTAAAACAACTAAGATAAAAAAGAAGAATTCGAAAAACGATGAAAGATTTTGTTCCAATTTAATTGAATCTAGTACAAAAAGAATACATAGATCTGAAACTATATTTCGTTTATCCATGAATCTAAGAAATAGTGAGAATTCTTGATTTCTCTCAATATCTCTCTCAATTTGAAAATTCAATATTTGAATTTATGTCCTTTCATCGAATCCTCCTAATTGCATTCATTTATCAGAAAGATTTCACTTCAATTGGAATTGTGTGGATGAAAGAGAGAGTATAGAGATGAGACAGAAACAAATTGGATAAGTGAGGAAGATGAATCAGGGTTAGGAGAATCTTTTTATTTTTTTTTCAGTTGGAGCTACAATAAAGATAACAGAAAAAGTTGAAGTGAAATAGATGAGAGAGAAATGGTTGAGATGAACAAAGGAGATGAGTAAGAGTTTGAAGGTTTCTTGTTTTTTAGTTTTGAGAAATTATGCAAATACTCATGTACCTTAAAACTTAGAATCCATAATATATGAGAGTATTTTTTTCTACTAAAACCCGATAATATATATATATATA